CCCACGGTGATTTCCGAATACTCTTTTGCTGAGATGAGATTCGATCACTTCTTTAGATCAATCTTCCCTCACAAAACTCATATTTGGTCAAACCTTTAAACAGTTAGGACCAAAGCCAAAATCCCCTCTCGATTCCTTCCATGAACGAGAGGTCCACAAATTGAACAATCAAACCTTTAAACAGTTAGGATCATCTCGAGTCCCCATTTGGTCAAACCTTTAAACAGTTAGGACCAAAGCCAAAATCCCCTCTCGATTCCTTTCATGAACGAGAGGTCCACAAATTGAACGATCAAACCTTTAAACAGTTAGGATCGTCTCAAATTCCAATTTGGTTAAACCTTTAAACAGTTAGGACCAATGCCAAAATCCCCTCTTGATTCCTTCCATGAACGAGAGGTCCACAAATTAAACGATCAAACCTTTAAACAGTTAGGATCGCCTCAAAACTCCCACTTGCTCAAACCTTACTACAGTTAGGACCACAATCAAGATTCCCTTTCGATTCATTTCACGAACGAGAGGTCTACTTTTGAATTGAATAATCAAACCTTATGACAGTCAGGATTATTCAAACCAGGCCAGATTCTCTAAGTGAAGATCCCACTTTGAGTTTCTTTTGCATCAGGAGATAGAATATAAAATTCTTCCTCTCTGATTTCGGGTTTATCTCTACCAACAAAAAAAAGACCTGGAGATAGAATATAAAATTCTTCCTCTCCGATTTTTGGGTTTATCTCTACCAACAAAAAAGAGACCAGGAGATAGAATATAAAATTCTTCCTCTCCATCATCGGGTTCACCTCTACCAACAAAAAAGAGACCAGAATACTCCAATAGGTATACGAGTCTAAACTATTTCCCTAATCTCAACAGGAAGTTTCTGGAGAATATCACTTAGAATATTCTTAAGAATAACCTGGCTACCTCCCAACGAGTATATGAGGTTAACTATTCCTCGAAAACTCCAAAAAATACATGAGTATAAACTGTGTTTTTATGAAGACTGATACAGTGATTAACAATCCAGTATCAATTTGATGACAAAAGCTAAATTCACAAGTACAAATTCCAGCTTCGATTCAAGATCTCGACAACGGTCAAACGATAAACGTAGTACCGAAAAAATATTAGCTATTCTACAAGGAACTGAATAGACTAAGGGATGAAGAGATCAGGAGTTGAAATCATTTACGGATCCTTCTACATGATCAAACTCAACCAAGTATTGAAGAGATCGTAAGTAAAATCTATCTTATCCAAAGTATCCCAGACTCCTCTATAAAAGAATGAGTCTGGAATACTTTGGAGGGGGTATCTGTAGGCGTCGAAAAATACTGAAAGATATCCAAATACAGCTCAAGAGGAGATCGTCCAAAGATCAAAAGAACACTGTAGACTGTCTCGGCATGCGAGACCGTGTTTACTGTCTCGCACGCCGAGACCTCTTGAAGGATTAGAAACGCGTTTGGTATAACTGCCGACACGTTCGTTCACATTAACTGTCAAAGAACATGCTGGGGAACAGTCGGTGGCGAGAATCACTGTGGATTATACTTCAAAATAACGGACTAGTATAAACAGGGAAAGCAGTTACAAGCAATAAAAAACGCTGGCAGTTGGGTTTCCAGAACAGTGTTACTGTCTCGGACCCGAGACCAGTAAACTCTGTCTCGGCCGCCGAGACAGCAAACATTGTCTCGGCCGCCGAGACAGCAAATGCTGTCTCACGGGCATGTTTCCTCTAACTGTTCCTAGAGGCTATAAATATCCCCTGAGATCGATTTTTGAAGGGGACTGATCAGAGAGCATTGGCTGAGCATTTTTAGAGTAGACAGAGCAGAGTTCCTGAGCTTCTGGCAATTCCTTGAGATTCGAGCTTTGACTTAATCTTAAGAAGAGTGATCATCTTACTTTGATAAGATATTCACTTCAAATTCCTACTTCGATAAACGAAGGGAGAATCACTAAACCCCTCACGATTCAATCAGAATCTGTGATTCGGTGGTCCACGAGTCAAAGCGTCCAAACAACGATCCTACGTTTGTTTCTAAAAAGTTATAATTTTCCTTTTGTTGTGTAAAAGAAGTCTTATAAAAAGGCTATTTCTTTTGAATTTGTTGTAATCGACCGAAGATATAATAAATTCCACAACGAGACCAACTTTTGACGAAAATAATGTTTACTATAAATAGGGGTAGAGAGTGAGGGGTTAGAGGTGTGAAAAATTTTGTAACCCTATTTGGAGAGGAGGGCTACTCTTAATTGAGAAGGCCTTCCAAAAATTATAACTTTTATTGCAATTAATAATAATAATTTTTCTCCACTTTAAATTTATTTTTCTCCTCTTTGTTGAATGATGAGGATGGAGATGAAGAACAATTTGAAGGTTTGTATTTTTTTTATTTTTCTCTTTTATTTCTTTTAAGTAATTTCTTTATTATTATTTATTAGTTAGATTTACATTCATGCTTGTAGTGTAGATTTATTTCCTTATCTTTTTATTTTTTTTTTTGCACTTTATTTTATAGAGTAGATTTATTTTCTTGTATTTAATTTTTGCAATTTATTTTGTAGTTTAGATTTTAATTCTTTGTAGTTAGATTTATTTCTTGTTCATAGTTTAGATTTTATTTTCTTTTTAATTTTGTAATTAGTTCTTTTTCTTATTGTTTTTATTTCTTGAGATGTGAAATTAATTCTTGTAGGAATCTTAGAATTGTATGATGCTAGCCTAATTTTTTTTATATTATGCAAATTATTCTCTTGCACTTAAAATATTCATGTTTAGGATAATCAACTAGAGAACTAATCGGTAGAAGAAAATTTTGATAATCTATGTTTATCTTAAATGGTTTGATAGGTTATGCTTATGAATTCTAGGATTACTATCTTGTTGTTGTTCTTATCATGAATAGTAATTTTAACTTAGATGATAATTTGATAGGTTATACTTTCCTTAAATGGTTTGATAGTCTATGCTTAATAAATCTAAGTTGAAATATGATAAAAAGAAATGGTTTGTATTTTTTAATTGAGATTAGCTAGTGGATTAAATTCTAGATTTCTCATATCTTAAATTGAAACCTCCATCTTGACTTTCTTGAATTTTCTTTTCATTCTTGATTTTATTCCTTGATTTTATTCATTCTTCTTTCTTGCCTTATGATTTCATTTATTCTTTAATTCTTATTTCTTTTCTCTAAAATTCAATTTATTGTCTCTTTCATATATTCACAACAATCACTCATCACAATCACACTTATTCTTTAATCCTATTTTGTCACGCACACAACATAAGAACATATTCTAATAATCTCTTAAAATCACCTTCCTCGTGGGATCGATAACTTTTATACTATAACTTGATTAATTGTGCACTTGCAATTTTGGTACATAATTATGCCGCATCATATATATATATGAGAAATATGGATATGCTTGGTACCAAGCACAAAAAGTTATGCTTGGTAGTGAGGTGTCAAATCCCCCTCCGCTCATTTCAAATGTGGGTAGTGAGTGGATGAGGATGTGACACATCACTACCAAGCATAAAATTTGTGCTTGGTACCAAGCATACCCATCTCTCTCTCTCTCTCTCTCTCTCTTAATAATATATATATTACTATATAATATATACTATATATTATATATATATATATATATATATATATATATATATATTATATTATATAAAGGAAAGAGGAAGGAGAGAGGAGAGAGAGAGAAGAAGGAAAAGAGAGCAAAACTTGTGTCAACTTAAGGCTGGATAGTGGGATAGAAAAAATTATCCCATCAAATTTTAAAGCCACTCATATTACCTAGGGATCCTTTCGCATGATATGAAAATATTTTTTAATTAATAAATGAGGTGGCTAGGAAGTTGGGTGGACATCAACTTAGTTGAATAGTCTTACTTATATATATATATATGGATATATACTACTATACTATATATACGTATATTATATATATACTTATAACCATCCAAGATTGAGCGCCAATATGATGACTGGACAGAAAAGGACATACCAGTCAAAAAGATTTGAGCCAATAGATGATGGACACATTTGGGACGCACCAGCCCCCTTTTTCCTATATAACACAACTATAGTGATAGGCAAAATGGCCAGATTGGTATATTTTGTAGAGGCTTGGTGACAAATTGGTATATTTTCTTTCAGTTTTGTCAGATTGGTATATTTTCTCAACTCCGGCGCCATATAGACCTTAAATTTGGCCGGAGTTACTGTTCCGGCCAGTGCTGATGGGATTTTTTGCAAAAAAACCCTCATCAAATACAGTTTCCTGCTCCTACCCCTTCTCCCTCCTCCTCATCCTTTTCAAACTCCCCCTCTCCCTCATCCTTCTCATCCTCTCCCTCCTCCTCCTCCTCATCCTCTTCAACCTCCCCCTCCTCCTCTTCCTCCCTCCTCCTCCATTCGCAACAAACCACCACCAAGCCAAAACCCTAGACTAAACCATAAACCAATTCACAGAGTACAGTGTAGTAGCAATCAAGAACCCATCAACTGCCACAATCTCGCCTGTAGTGTCCATGATGATGTCCTACTCTGAAGCGGGGATCACCGATATCTTCGTTATCCGATGGCACATGTGCTTGAAACCTTGACATCGAGGGCCGTCGAAAGACAATCGGAGGAAGCTGATGAAGCTGGAGTTGTCACCGGAGAGGGAGAAGAGCCTGGCAGCGAAGAGATCGGAGCGGGAACGGAGGGCGCAAAGGTGGTTGCTGGCAATGGGGTCGGTGGCGGGAGAGAAGGAGCAGAGGACATCGGCCGCGAGGGCGGAGTAGGAGGAGGAGGGGAGGAAGGAGGAGGAGTCGATGAAGGAGTTGACGGCAGCGAGGACGGAGGAGGATGATAGAGGCGGAGGGATTTGGAGGGAGGGGAGGAGAGATAAAGTCGGCCACAACACACATACCGCTTCGACCACTGTAGGTTTTGCAGTCGCTAATGCTAATCTGTTCGGTTTTGCAAATGGAACTGCTCGAGGAATGGCAACTCGAGCCAGGTTGGTTATGTACAAAGCTTGCTGGGGATTCTATGGATGACCGGTCTCTGACATAGTTGCTGCCATCGACGCTGCAGTCAAGGATGGTGTTCATATCCTCTCTCTGTCTCTTGGTGTAGGACCTGAAGAATTTGATGTTGATGCTGTCGCTATCGCCACGTTTGCTGTTGTTCGCAATGGCATATTTGTCGCATTTTCTGTAGGCAATAGCTGGCCAGATGAAGGATCTCTCGTTAACATTGCTCCGTGGATCACGACGGTCAACGCTGGATCAATCGATCGCAAGTTCCCTACGCGTTTCACGCTAGGGAGCGGTGAAGTCTACATTGGACAATCTTTATATCAGCAATCACCAAACTTTACAAGATTTGCTCCTCTTGTTTATGTGCCGCAATGTTTGATGTCTGATACAGAAATAACACAACTCGTCAAGGAAAAGATCCTCGTATGTGAAAATGCATTTGTTGAGCTCGGTATGAAAGTGGCTAAATCCAGAGGTGTCAGTCTGATCAGACTCAATGGCAATTATAGCGGCGAAGGAGTTATCGTTAAAGCATTCACATTGCCAGGTTTGACATTAGGCTACTTTGAAGCACAGAAGTTGATCAAATACATAAACTCAACCTCAAATCCAAGAGCTTCGCTTCAATTCGATTACCAAACTGTTATCAGAGAAACCCGAGCTCCAACAGTCGCTTGCTTCTCATCGAGAGGTCCTAACTTTATCCAGCCAGAGATTCTCAAACCTGATATTCTTGCTCCAGGCATGAACATCCTTGCTTCTTGGCCTACTGAAACTCCTCTAACTAGAAGCTTGAAAGATTTGAGATGTGCAGGCTTCAACATAATCTCCAATACTTTGATGTCTTATCCTCATATCGCTGGTGTCGCTACGCTTCTCAAAGCATAACACCCAAATTGGTCGCCAGCAATGATTCGATCAGCGATGATGACCACAACGTTCCCACTCGACAATAGCTATCGCCCAATTTTCCTCAACGAAAACCTAAAGCCTGCGAATGCACTAGCAATCGGTGCATGCCATGTCGATCCCGAGAGGGCGAAAAATCCAAGGCTGGTGTATGACCTAGGAGTACAGGATTACATTAATTTTCTCTGCACAATGAATTACACCGAGACACAAATTAAGAAGTTCATGCCAGAGCCAAGCTCGTGTTCGAAATTTGGAGGAGGGGTGAGAGATCTCAACTACCTGTCTTTCGTGGCGATATTCGACGCAGAGACAAAGGAGAGGATGTTGACGAGGACCTTGACGAAGGTCTCGGAGCTGCTCGAGATGAACTCGCTTCCATCGCAGAGAATGGGCAGAGGTGGAGAGGGCCGAAGGAGGAGGAGGAGGAGAGGAGGGAGGGGGAGGAGAAGATTGAGGGGATTGGGAAGAGGGATGAGGAGGGAGGAGGAGGGAGAGGATGAGGAGGATGAGGGAGAGGGGGAGGTTGAAGAGGAGGAGGAGGAGGAGGAGGAAGAGGGGGTAGGAGCAGGAAACTGTATTTAATGAGGGTTTTTTTTGAAAAAAATCTCATCAGCACTGGTCGGAACAGTAACTCCGGCCAAATTTAAGGCCTATATGGCGCCGGAGTTGAGAAAATATACCAATCTGACAAAACTAAAAGAAAATATACCGACTTGTCACCAAGCCTCTATAAAATATACCAATCTGGCCATTTTGCCTATATATAAGCTTAATTAAAACTCTCCTCAAAAGAAAGTCTCCAGCATGTTGCCCCTTTCTCCTTCAATTGTTGAAGCCTTTGAGTGGCAACTTGAAGAAAACATGATTAATGAACTTCATTGTGATGATCTATTCGCAGACTACAACCTTAATGAAACAGACACATCCATGAGCATGAGCAGTTTGTCTCCTCGGCGACAAGATACCGATCATGATGATGGAAAGAAGAAAATTTCAAATGCCGTGAAGAAATCAAGCCAACATGCCTATGAACGAGACCGAAGAGAGAAACTGAACAAGCTCTACTCCTCCCTTAGAGAACTTCTACCAAAGGATAAAAGAGTATGTCATGTCTTATAAACCTTTAATTACTCTACATTTTTTCTCTAATTATTTGAAGATTTTTCATCGTGCAGAAGAAATTGAGTATTCCATGTACAATTGCTCGTGTACTGAAATATATACCTGAACTGCAAAAGTGCGTCGAAAGGTTGAAATCTTCGAGAGAAGAGCTTTTGTTGAGGGCATCAAATGATGAATTTGATTCAAATTGTGACAAAGGAATGATGAATCCAGTGATTTCAGCAATATGTCTGAGTAAAAGAGAGATCATGATCCAAATATGCATATTTAACACGAGTTCAATGATCACTTTCTCGAAGATTATCAAGATTTTGGAGAGAGAAGAGCTACAGCTTTTGAATGCCACAACCCACACCACTCATGATGATAAAACATTATATTCTCTTCATCTTCAGGTTAGGTTTCCTCGCTTGGTGAGATATCTATCTTCATGTTTTAATTTTGATATTGCTTTACATTGAGCAGGCAAAGAAAGCCATGAGGATCATGGAGAAAGAAATCTTCTGTGAGAAACTGATGAATTCTGTTAATGAACAAACAATGTGTACTAAAACTGTTCTGTGAAGGCCATATTAGATAATCCGTATGATGAATAAACTAGAAGATATTAACAATGGCCCAATGTTGAAAATAGCGATAACGTATAGCGTAACGTTTACCTCCGGTTAGGTTACAATAGCGATAACGCATAGCGTAACGTAGGTTAAATAATTTATTATTATTTAAATAATTTATAGATATATAACATTCAAAATAAAAAATATGAATAATCATCGTAATTTTCAATTTCACAAATCAATATATCATCACAATTTCACACCAAATCAACCATGTTTGCCTTAACAATCAATCCAAAAGCATAAAATACTTCAAGTTCGAAACCAAAAAGGATCCAATGATCCATAAACTATGAAGTATGAAATTATTAGGTTGGGTTGGAATCCATGAAAAAGGAGTGAAAATGGGAAGGGGAGGCGGAACTGCGGGCGGCGTGAAAAAGGCGGCGTGAAAAGGGCGTGAAAAGGGGAAGGGGAGGCGGAGCTGCGGGCGGCATGAAAAAGGCGTGAAAAGGGGAAGGGGAGGTGGAAAATAACCTAAGTTATAACTCAATCACAGCCGTTCATTTCTTTTAAAAGCAATCTAAGCCATTGACAAAATAACCTAAGTTATAAAACGTTACGCCGTTACGTTACGTAACTTACGTTATAGCTAAAATAACCTACGTTATTTTGTCTTTGCGTTATTTTCAAACGTTACGTAACGTTAAGCTAACGTTACGTTACGTTAAGCGTTATTTTGCGTTACGAAACGCGTTATTTTCAACACTGCAATGGCCATATATTAATGAGCAAGACTTTTGTTTCATCCAGCAAACTATTTGCGGCAGACCGCACTCTTATGTAAATAAATTTGGATTTTTTTTTTTTTTACAGTAGAAATTGTGGAATGTTAAAGTTTATTTTGCGCAAGTATTTTTGGGTTATATTTGAAGGACAGATTTTGAGCTGAATATTAGACATTATCATCAATTGTCCTAAAATGAATAACCGTGTTCAACATGCATTCCACTTGAGCCTACTCATTGATAATTTTTGAAGCCAATGAAGCCCAGAGTAATTCTATGGAAACTGGAAACCAGGTTCCTTGTTATTGTGTTTTTTTTCTTTCTGTATTAGTCTATTTGTGAAATATAATTTCCAATTGTATATCTTGTCCTATTACTTGGTTATATAAAGACTATAATGTCAGAGAAAGATTGTGATCAATATATACTAGCAAGTCTTCAAAAACTTGTTAATAAGTTGAAGTAGTGCCTTCATTGGCAAAAAAAAAAGAAAGCATTGTCTTATGCAGGTAGATTGCAGCTCATTAAATCTGTCATCCTAGGCATTCAAAATTTTTGGACTAGCAATTATGTTCTACCAGTTAAGGTGTTGAAGAAAATTGATAGTCTCTGTTCAGATTTTCTTGGAATCATAAAATCCATTTGATTTCCTAGAAGACATGCAATTTGTCAAAGTAAGGAGCATGGAGAGCTGAGGGTATTCTCTGCTAAAGCCTAGAATCTTACAGCTTCTATGAAGCTTATTTGGATGATACATTTCAAGAAAGATTTGTTATGGATTAAGTGGGTTCATGGCAATTATCTTAGACAATCTAACATTTGAGAAGTTCAAAATAAAGCAAATGATTCTTGGATGTGGAAGCAAATACTTAAAATGAGAGATAAGGTGATTTGCAAATTTGGGAGTGCATCTAATGTTCAAAATGTCATTACCAGATACTGCTCTGGAGGTAATTTCTAGCTATTTGCTATCTACAATGAGCTCATTAATCAAAATGCACAAGTGGCTTGGTTAAAAACAGTCTGGGATGAATGGTCATATCCTAAGCACTCCTTCATCTCCTGGCTTGCTATTCAATCTAGACTGTTAACAAAAGATAGATTATGTCACATGAGGATCCTTGACATAAATCAACAACAAAATACCTGTGTTCTGTGCACATTTCAGCAACAAGAAACCTGCAGGCATCTTTTTTTTGAATGTGCATACTCAGCTAATCTCTGGAACAGAGTTATGGAATGGATGAACTACAAATGGAAATCTTGCAATTGGGATTGTATTATTGAATGGTATAGTACAAGACTGAAGGGGAAGGGGTTTATGAAGAAAACTAAAAGATTGGTGTTAACTGTGTCAGTCTATGCTATATGAAAGGAAAGGAATCAAAGAATATTTCAACAAAAAGCTCAAGTCCCTGTATCTATGTTTCGAAGAGTGAAGCTCCTTATTCTATCAAAAGATCTGAATAATGATAGTCCTCCTCACATAAAAGAGAGAATTGTGCAAATATAATTGTTTTTCATAGATACTTTTCCAGCTTAGTACTCAAATTTCTCAATTTGATAATGAATAAAATTTATTTCATTGACCAAAAAAAAAAGTCTTAAAAAACTTGTAGTGATTGGGAATATTACCTGACTAGCTAATCAAATATTCCAATGATGTGTACTTATCAGGTTATATGTACTACATATAGTACATGTTTCTCTATCAAAAAGCTTATGTACGTACTTTCTGATGGAAATTAATTAGAACTCATGAATCTCCATCAGAAGGATATAGTTCATCTTATGTGGACTTTTATAGAGGAGTGATGCACAATCACAGTCAAGGAGTTTATTAAGGCTCCGGTTAGCAACAAAAATTACTACAAACTTTAGATGCCTAACGTGTCCAATGTGTGAAAGTGGAATATAGGTAACATGTAATTATATTTCATGTTCTTGGGAGTGATAGTGACATTTCTGAAAATATGTATTTTCGTTGGGGGATGTGTAAACGAGCTCTTGATGTTACTAGCTAGGTAACGTATAATTAACCCATGATGGAGACTCATAACACTTTTTCCTAATTAAAAGTACGTACCTTATACCCATATATAGTACCTCATCCTAATTAATAGAGCTATTAACACTTAATGTTAATTAGGAAAAAAAGCATTATATTTCATGTTAGATTTGGGGGTGGAAACCAAACCTCCGACGGCGGAGGAGCTCCGACGAGCTCCGACGAGCTCGAGAATGGCGAAGATGACGCAGGAGAAGTCGGCGAACGCACAATCTCGGCGAACGCAAGCTTCGGGCGAACGCAGACCTTCGAACTCTGCGTTTGGCGAAGGCCCGAGCTCTGCGTCACAGTGAGGCCGACCTCTGTGTTCGTGCGCTCTCCCCTTGCGTTCGCGGGCCGCTGGCGACAGGCTGTCGCCAGCTCATCCACCTCGCCTATAAAAAGGCACCTAGGGTTTTTCGGTGTAGTGGCTGGAACTTCCCCTCTCCGATTTTCTCCTCT